CTGTTTCGTGGTATCCAAACACCTCATTTTTCAGCCCTGCAGTAAACATTTAGAATCATACAGGTTAAATTAGTATTTGATATTTTTAAGTACCTAAACTAGGGTGAAGAATTGAGTTAGGTGTTCTTATTTTGGTTTAACGGTTGGCTAAGGGTAATGGGTAATCTTACTAATAAAGAACTACCAATTCAACAGATGTGGCTGAGCACACAGTAACAAACAGGCAAGCTCAGTCATCTCCAGTCTCTCCTGTTGGGATGGTTTCTGGGGGCCAACACGCAACATCTCCACTCTTACAGTTCTCCCTTTAGACAGAAGCCAAGAGCACTTGGACCGAGTGCGTGAGGAGACGACTCCGGGTGCTGCCAGCGGTCCCAGGAGGAGCAGGGCTCTCTCCCAGCCACGGGCCCACCAGCCCGGGTCATCCCTCCTCTCGCCTGCTACGTCCCCTGGGGCTACCCGGGAGTGGCACCCACACCAAATACCATCTTTCTCTTACCAATCCACATTCTGAAGGTGACACAGCCTTCTTTCCAGCTGCTGAAACGATAAACTGCGACTGCTCGCAGCCACCAAGCCTCAATGAGGAGCAGCTGAAGTTGGCTCTCCCTCCAGCAGCAGAACCCCGGCACCCCTGCCTGCATGGCCCTGCATTCATCCCCAGAAGAAGGCAGCCATCATGGCCTGTCCCTCTGACAGCACAACAGGGAGGCCCTGCTCTGGAGCACGTTCTTCTGCTCTATCAAAGAGATACTGTGAGAGACATCCTGATAGATCCTGTAAACCGTGGGATGTACCAGCTTGAGGAGACCCCTCCAGGAACGGCACCTGCATTGTCCAACAGCCAGAGACTTACCATGTTATGGACTGTGAGGGTTGCTCCCTCAGTGAGTGCAGAGCACCCTCCTGCCTCACACTGCTTTTAACCTCTCTCTGCCTCAGTCCTCTCCCCTTGCTGCCTGCAGGCAGTGCCCTCAGCCCTGTTGTGCTTTGCAGAGGAGCTGCTCCTGGGCACAGCTGTCTCTCTGCAGAGCTACCTGGTTGCCAGGAGCCCAGTTCAGCTCAGCAGCACAGAACCAGCCCAAGGCAGCATTATGTCTACCCACTCTGGCCTCCCTTGAGGTGTCTCTTGGTCTCCAGGACAACTTGCTGTGAAACAAACTGAAGCAATCACTGATATTTTCTCCCTCAGCTCCAGAGACACAATTTCAGCAGTGGCACTTCTCCTATCACCAAAAGAGTTAGCTCCAAGTATCCCCTTTTCTTATCCCATCTTTAGGCAGGACAGCCAGAGCAGGACAGGCTGGGATCTCCTTCACCCCTGCTGATGGAAGGCATTCAGATGAGTCAACTGAGGCATCTCATCCTGGGTCTGTAGTCCTGGGACTCAAAGGGGATTCAGCTCCCCCCAGTGCCTGCCAC